GGCCCCTCTGCGCCCGGGTGCGCCCGCCGCCCCGCTGGACCGCCTCAGCCGCGAGCTTGCGCGCGCTCATGGCCCTCCGGCGGACGTAGATCTTCCTGGGCAGAGAAGGTCGGGCACAGAAACGCGTCTTGCCCCTAAAGCTGGCGGCGAGGGGTCCGGTCCTACCGCCTCTGGGAATCCGGGCTTGAGCTGACCCCTTGGGTGCGGGCCCCGGGTTCGCCGTCGGGGCCGTCCCCCTCCCCGTCGCCTGCTGCTTACAACCCTCCGCGGCCGCTGCTGCTGTCTTTCATCCTTTCCCTCTCACTCAGTTCTCCCAGACACGGCGTTTGACACCTTCCTTTGACCTCCCGAGGGTTCGTCTACGTCCTGAAAACTTAGGCAGCGAGCGCTGATGCTCTGTCGTAGGCGCCGGCTCTTCTGGCCCTCAGCTGGGAGGAAGAGGAAGATCTCCGTTCCTACGTCTGCTGGAGCTGGAGCGGGAGTCTGGCTTTTCTAAGCTCAGTAACCGTAATCCTCCTCTTCAGGACAACACGGCTGAAGCCAAACGCCTTCGGACCGGGGGCAGCTGGGCTCTCGCTCTGCTTGGTGCTGCTTTGGGTCCGTCTCCACTTTCCCTCCATGGTGGACACAAGAAAAGCTGCTTTTTTCTTTTCTTTCCCTTTGTTTTTAACCATCCCAAATACAATGGGATATAACCACAAACGTAAAACAAGCTTGACTAAGGGTGAGAGGCTGGAGGCCCCAAACCCACAGCCGGGATCGGCCAGACCGTGCCCCGACGCGAGGGTGGAGGTCGGGAGTTACATGGGGACAAACCTCAGCCCCGGTCCCTGACAGCATTGCGGCGGCAGCTCCCAAGTATCGCCCAAAATAACCCAAACCGGGCAAACAGAAGGTGCTATTCACACCCCAGGGGCAATCCATCCTTGCTGACCGAGTTTTGTGTTCTGCACAGTGGAGCTGGGGCTTAACCTTGCTCTTGGATTTTTATTTCTTTTTATATGGTCCCTAGAGAAAAACACAAGAGGTGTAAAATAAGGCTCCCCTAAGGCAGGGATCACTGAAATGACCTCTTAAACCTCACAGGCCTTCGTCGAGGAGGATGAGCGAGCAGTGACGGCCACAGATTTCCTTGTGCCCTCGCCAACACCCTCGCGGAGATTCGCTGCTGCCCCGGGGCGAGCGCGGTCCCCTTGCCGCAAGCTGCTGCACCCTGCAGGATCGCCCGTCGGCAGCACCTTGCCTGACGCCCGAGGGACGGCATTAGAGCTGCCCCTCTCCCTCGG